GTCAGGATATATCCTACCAATAGTAATAATAGTATTTATTTTATAAAAAAAAAAAAAAAAAAAAAAAAAAAAATTGAGCCCAAATTGCTTTAAAAACCTTATTAAAAAAAAAAAAAAAAAACATCTATATATATAAGGACAATTAGGTCAGACTATAAGGACATTACCAAAACTGCAATTCGGCAATTAAATTTTCTAATCCGAAATCTCAATTAACAAATTCTCAAATCTCAATTAGGCAATAGCATGTTCAGAGTATAAGGAATTAAAGACATTTTATACTCCTTGTGGTAAATCGTAAAGCATCTCAAGGTGTACAAAAAAGACTCTTAGATGTAAATCGTAAAGCATTTTATACTCCTTGTGGTAGTCATAGTCTTAAATTGACTGTATGTGACGTTGCAAACAGTTGTGGGAAAGCAAGAGATTTCTTTGGAGTAGGCAACGTATTTACACAAAATTTGCTAATTCCACAAAGAGGTGGCATATCTTGAAAAGTAATGTAATAAATCTAACTTTTAAGCCATTGTCATCTACTAGATGGGAAAGTCGCGTGTAAAGTGTCAAAGCAATTAGATATCAAGTCAGTGATATTCGAGAAGCCCTACTTCAAGTGGCAGATACAGGCAGTGATTCTAAAATTCAGTGATTCTAAAATTCAAAGTGAGACAAGATCTTTAGCTACAAATGAGCTTAGTAACTTTGAATTTTTGCTAGCGACAGTCATTTGGTTTGAAATCTTATATGCGGTTAATTTAGTTAGCAAGCAATTACAAACAAAAGATATGCTTCTTGATGTTGCTATTAATCAAATTAAAGGGTTAGTTTCTTTCTTCAAGAATTATATAGAAAATGATTTTTCTAGTGCCATGGATAGTGCAAAGGAAATTGCCAATGAATTAGAATTGAGCCAGTGTTTCCTCAAAAGCGAAAAATTCGTAGAAAAAGACAATTTGATGAGAGTGTTGATGACACTTCATTATCACCCGAAGAATCTTTTAGGGTTCATTATTTTTTATACATTGTAGATCAAGCTATTATTTCATTGACCCAGAGGTTTGAGCAATATGAAGTATGTGAAGGAACTTTTGGTTTTTTGTTTAGTTCTGACAAGTTACAATCGATGAATGATATCAATTTGAAGTCTTGTTGCACTTGTTTAGAAGCAGCTCTTAAGAGAGATGATCAGTGTGGTGATATTGATAGAAATGAATTGTATTTGGAGATAAAATTGCTTAGAGAGATTTTATCAAAAGAAAAGATAGGTGCACTGAGTATATTATATTCATTGAAACAGATGAGTTGTTTTCCAAATGCTACTATTGCATATCGAATATTATTGACTATCCCAATTATTGTTGCCTCTGCAGAAAGGAGTTTTTCGAAGTTAAAATTGTTGAAATCTTACTTATGATCAAGTATGTTGCAAGAGAGACTCAACGGATTAGCTTTAATCTCCATTGGAAATGAGCTTTTGGAAGAAGTTGATATCAAAAGTTTGGTAGATGATTTTGCGTCTAAATGTGCACGACGCGTGTCACTTTTTAAATAAAATTTTAGATGTATTTTTTATGCAATGTTTATATGTTGATACAACTTTTTGAATAGCGTAACTATTATTAATATATAGAAATTACTTATGAAAAAAAGACTCAAATTATGATATTGCACCGGGCCTTAATTTTTATTGTAACGGCCCTGATCTTTGTTATAAATATATAGAAGCAAAATGATGTAATATCATTAATAAACTTCCACACTATATATATTAAATCACCTAACAAGCTACTGAACCTAGTACTAGTACTATATTCCAAGCCATGACTGCTAACACTAGCTAGTCTTCTGATCTACTAGTACTCTAATAAAATTGAGTTAAATGTTTTTTACTCGATATAATGAATATAAACTACTCTACAAATAAACAGTGATTAAACTACGTATAAATAATGTAATTAAAATGTCACATATAAAAAATGTTGTCGCCGAAATTTGAACCCAGTCTTAGCTAGCTCTTAATTAACTAATAAACAGTCCGAGATTTCAGTGGCAATTATATATATGCATTTAGTAATAATGATGTTTAATTGAATAAGCTTTAGCAAATTAAAGGTTACATAATCATTTTTTATCCCATTTTCTAGCAGACTTTTAGTTTTATATATGCCTTAGCTTACAGACAAAGGAATAGCAAGAAGAGAGAAAAAGATGGAGGAAAACACATTATTGGTCTCTTTGACTTTTAAAACTTGGATTGTTGATTCTGACCTTACTTCATCGCCATCCTGCAAGCACTTCTCTTTTTTTTTTTTTTTTTTTTTTTTCATGTTAACTAAAATAGTATGGTTGGCCTGGTATGATGGAAAGTAAATAAATAAAAATAATATTAATTAATTAATTAATTAACTAAGATGGTAAATAAATTTTCAAGAAAGTAATAAATGTAGAAAAATTACATTTTGAAAAAATATAAAAAAAAAAATATTCTTGAAAGTTGAAATTAAAGTTACTTTGATGCAGTGATATATTGCACATGATGCATGGGCATGGGTGGATGGTAGTCAGAATGCAAAGCCAAACTCCATAATCAACTCCTTAACGTTAGGAATTATAGTGTCGTGTTTATTGGTAGCCTATCATTTTAATAAGGTATGAATTGAAGCCTCAAACTTGAAAGATTTTACATGCAACTCATCTTGCATTGGAATCATCAAAAATGCCATCAACTATGGACAAATTGTTCACACTATGATTGGTCGTAAATGGGGCAGACATATCTACAGTTAATATATTATGTGTCGGTAGTTAATAAATTATACTTATTTAATTTATATACAAGCACATAATTTATTAATTGAAGACACATAATTTTTGGACCAAGTTCATGGTATAACAATTGGTAAATGGCGGCAAATTTTAATGTGGGGTGTGAACCATGGTCTAAAATGATGCCGTTTTCTTTGAATGAAAAGAAACGACACACGTTTCGTGTAGTTAGTTTTGTTTGTATAACATATTCAATTTCATTTTATATATATTGTAGTTTCATTTCAGCACAACTAAAGTTTTATTTTGTTTCAACTACATTTTCATTCCACATTATACATGCAATAATCTTATTACAATGAGACATGTTATTGAATTTCATTTTATACACACTATAGTCTTATCTCAACACCACTAAATTATAATTCTAATTCAACTACGATTTCATTGGACAATATACACTCAAATATGTGAAAATGTTATTCAGTTTCATTTTATATACACTGTAGTTTCATTACAATACAACTAAAGTATCATTTTGATATAACTACAGTTTCATTTGACAATATACACTCAATATGTGAGATATGTTATTCAGTTTCTTTTTATACATTTTGTAGTTTCATTTCAGCAAAACTAAAATATCATTTCAATTCAACTACAGTTCTATTTGACAATATACACTCAATATATGAGACATGTTATTCTGCTTCATTTTATACATACTGCAGTTTCATTTCAACACAATTAAAGTATCATTTCAATTCAATTACAATTTCATTTGATAATATAAACACAATATGCGAGACAAGTTATTCGGTTTCATTTTAGATACACTGTAGTTTCATTTTATTATAAACACACAAAAAATACAAAATTTGTTAAAATTTAACAACAACCATTTCTTTACTTAAAGAAACGGCGTCATTTTTTTTTACCATTGCCCACAGTAATTCACACAGCTATGTGGAGCATGGTCCATGGTATAACAACCGGGTAAATGGGTAGGTGGGCTCCATTTTTGGGTTATTATATAGTCTCAAAACTACAAAATAAGAACCAAAGAAAACACTACAAAATGATGGTCGAGCTCGGATCGGCAATTTTTCGAGTCACTCGAGCTCAGCTCGAGTAGCTCGATTGTTCGAGCTCGGGCTCGATTTTGACCTATTTGAATTTATATTTCAATTAATAATAAACATTGTTTTATCCATATACATAAATAATAAAAAATTCAAAAGTCCAAACTTTAATATTTAAAAACTCCAAACACTCAAAACAAGTTTACAACTCCACTTTTATTATATATATATATATATATATAAAATATATATATATATATATATATTTTATATATATATATATATATATATATATATATATATATATATATATATATATATAATATTTATCTATTTATTTAATTATGGCTCGCGAGCGACTCGACGAGTCACAAGCCTAAAATATTTGAGCTCGAGTATAAACGAGCCGCTCGAGTTCGGCTCAAGCTCGATTTTGACCAAACTTGAGCCAAACTTTGCAAGCCGCTCGGCTCATTTACACCCTATCCCTAACCTCGTATCAAGAAGTTTAAAACTTACTAATTTGATAACATAGCAAAACTTAAGTCAACGTTTAGCAGAGTGTCCATACCAACTAAAAAGATGTGATTTCATGAGTTATTGAGCCAAAGGCCCATCCCCAACAAGTGGACAGTAGTAATCAATCATGCATTTGGATCACTAGAAAGGCCCAAACAAGATAATCCTGATTGTTATACCATGGACCAGGGTCCACCTTACAAGGTAGACCTAAATTCGAAATAGACAATTTGCATCCTGAATATTCATAATTTACATACTTAGTTCAAAATGTAAATTATGTATTTTAGACTAAGTCTACCTTGCAAGTGGATCCGGGTCCACAAAATAATTTGCCAGATAATCCCAGTCATTATACTATAAACCTTGTAAGGTGACAAAAGTGAACTGACACGAGGTACATTTTAATATATTGAATATTTATTTTTAAAGGTAGATTATTTGTGTAATGAAAGTTCATTATTTGATATACTATCAAATAATAAATCTTTAATACATAAATAATGAACATTCAGTATATGAAAAATAAATATTTAATCATGACTCACATTGTAATGTAGACCATACATGGTCCATACTATAATTTGGCAGATAATCCTATCCTTTGCAGAGTGGCAGCACTTACAGAAAGCATGGTGACAAGTAAACAAAATTTTGAAGACTAAGGGGTTCACACCACAATACCACATTACCACCTAGAAAAAGAGCCCATTGATCCAAGAATTTAGTTCTCTCTTAATCCACCACAAGCAATAGGTGGCAGGTTACAAGTTGCATTGCCATTTTTACAGGCATACATTGTGACAGAAATACATAGAGAGGGCTTTCAAATACATACGGTGTAGCTACGTAGCAGCTCTGCAAAATCAAGCCCTTCATGAGCATTGCTGCATTGTTGGGTCATCCGCATCTCTCGTCCAACCTGTTTTACAAATCAATGAGTAGCAGAAAATCTTGAATGGGGAAATGAAATATACTTGATAGAGGCAATGAATGTGCAGAATGTGTAAATTGGCTTTTCGGTATTCAGATTGGAGATTCTAAGTTTATCCAAATCTGTGACAGGTGATTCATGACTAGAATCCTAGAGATGCGTACATGTGTTAAGCATTTCAAAATATAAACAAGAATATAGGGTGTTTACCCTGGGTTCCCGCTCACTTGAATACTTGATATCAGGCATGGTTAGCAATCTCAGAACTGGCGCCTTGGAGGTCTTGATTCAGCAAGACTTACACCGATTTGCCTACCAATTAGGTTCTACAAAACAAAGTTCAAAAGAATAATGCAAATGTAAGTGGGAAATTGTTGAAGTCTAGAGAAAGGTCACTGGATTAGAGTAGACAACCTTAACAGATAATAATAAGCAAATAGCAAATTTTATGAAAGCCCACACATTTACATAATTATTTTTTTGGTTACCCAAAGGTATCCTTCCAGCCGGCAGCCAGAAGACTAATCCTCCGTCCCAACGGTCAGCACACTAAGTGGTAGGGAACTGGCCAAATGGTTTGCTCCAGTCACATGGGTGGGCTTAAGGGACGAGGTGCTGAACCACCACCCCAACCATGTTGGTTACACATTTACAGATACAAGAATATACTTACAACGCCATCCAACATTTTAATAGCATTGTTGGCCTCCTCAGCAGAACCGTAAGTTACAAATCCAAATCCCCTCGACCTTCCACTCTCTCGGTCGTACACCACTCTTGCTTCCAACACCTTTCCTTGCTCACTGAATAAGGTTTCAAGCGCCTGATCATCAACACCCCAAGCAAGGTTTCCCACATGGAGTTTGTGGCCTCGGTTGGCGTTGTCGAAACTTCTACCACCCCTTGCACCACCAAACGTGGAATTTTCCCTCCTAGGTGGAGGTGGCCCAGAATTGACCTTCAATGCCCTCCCGTCAAGTTCCTGCAAAAACATCATATGTTTCATGAAACGCATCCAATCTAATGCTCATATATATACTACTCCATAAATGATTTCACATGTTATAGATAAAACAACAATCTAGAATCCAATTTAAGTTAAAACATTTGTACATTAACTCAAACATCCCATATAGTTCTTTTGAACTGCAGCTCTTATCTATACATAACATTTAATTCTAAAGAAAATGTAAAATAAAACAGTGGATTGGAGTAATGAACTTTACATATCCATTGAATTGTTGAGCGGCTAATTCAACTTCCTCCACAGTTGACATTGTCACAAAGCCAAACCCTCTGCTTCTTCCTGTCTGTTTGTCATATATAACCTGGAAACAGTGACAACTAAAATAAGCTCATCGTCCCATAAGGGGAAGAAAAACAAGCATACCTTAACTACAAACGACAAGAACTACTGGATTTATGTATGTACTTGTGTAATTCAACATGATTTGTCCAAAGATTATCCACCAAGATAAACAAAAGAAAGAAAAAATATGCCATCTTCCTTAATCCACAAAGAAATCTTATCCAAATTTTCTCAGGAAAATATAAAAATTGCAAACCAATCCATAGGTATAGTAAGAAAAGAGAAGTATAAACCTTTAAATAGACATATAGATTATAGAGATTACCTCGACCATCTCAACATTTCCAGCTTGTTGAAACAGCCCAGCAAGAGCAGCGCTGTCGATATTGTACGGCAAATTGCCCACGAAGAGCTTGAGCTCAGGAGAGAAACGGGGTTCGTCCGGGTACGAGGAACCGCCATCGCTGGGAACTCCCTCGTCCTCGTCTTCCACTTCTTCAATCTGGTCGAATTCTGACGAAAGCGTGACGCCTCTGACGAAGCGTGACGCGAATGTGGAATCAAAGTGTCTAACTGAAAATGTAAAAGGCGAAGAAGAAGAAGATAGTTTTAGAGCACGAGAAGATGACGGGAGAGAGAAAAGAGATAAAGAAGCGGCGGGTATGGCATTGGGTTTTGAAAAAGAAAGCGATTGAGGGGTTAGAGAGAGAAAATGGAGTGAAGTAGCTGAGGTTGCCATGGCCGCACAGATAAGGTTCTTTAGGATTCCGATGAGAAAAAAGAAGGGAGGAGCGTTTAGGGATATAATAACGATAAACCCATAGTATATTTTGCAAAGATCAGGCTCAAAATCATAATCATAATCTTCCAAATAGAAATCCAACCCGGGTACCATTAGACCACATAATCCTGGTAACATAATACACAGAATTATAAACTCTTAACATAATACACATAAACTCTTAACATAATACACAAATACAAAAAATAAAAAATAAAACTGCAATGGGATTGGACGGACGAAATAGTATTTGTCGCACCGTCGCGTCAACTCCCCAATAACTTATAAAAACGACATTGTTTTGGGCCAGGGCCTACAATCGCCCTAGTGCACGATATAATTTGCCATATATTTTGGGGTAAGTAAATTTATATATGGGGAGATCTCTTGTAAAATCCTTTTATGGGTCTCGTGAAATGAATTGGATTTAATAAAGGGAAAATGGTCAAATAGACACCTAAACATTATACAAAAGTGTAATTAGACCATTAAACTTTAAAAGAGTTCAATTAAGTACTTCAACTTCATAAAATCAATCAAATAAGTCCATTTAGTAGGTAACCAATAGGTTACAAGTAGCTATACCACGTTGACTGTCATCATCGACTGTTGATTGCCAACCTGAACAGTAATCAACAAAAAAAAAAAAGAACACTGGAAACCCAAAACGGTCGTCGGTGACCAACTGCCTCATTCTACAAGAAGAAGGCGACGTTTGGTCGCCTCCTTCCCCAGAAAGAAAGCGACCGTTGTTGCCTTCTTCCTCAGTTGAAGAAGGCGGCGCTTGGTCGCCTTCTTCAATTGAGAAAAAGGCGACACTCGTAGCCGTCGAAGAAGGCAACCAGCGACCAGAAAACGGTCATTGGCAGCCGATTTAATCATATGAAGTTTAATTACCAGGTATTATCAGTAAGTTATCGGTTATTGGATCTGGATGCATCAAAATGATAAGTTTATGTGTTTAATTGCACTTTTTAAAAATTTAGGGACCTAATTGCACTTTCCTATAATATTTAGAGATCTATTTGACCATTTTCTCTTTAATAAACATGATTCATTACATAATTACAAATATAATTAATATTTTATATCATAAATGTATTATTTTATAGTAAAACTGTAATAAATAAATTTTTAGAAAATAAAGTATCAAAGAGAATTACAAATAGCATCAATACTTTAATCTTTATATATCATTAGTTGCATCAAATAGTATCATAAAATGTACCAATGTGAAAGACGTTATAATTAGGTTCATCAATGTTAACAAGGTAAATTACTTACATTTTTTACTTGCAAACTTGCACCAATTACTTGCACTTTTAACATATTTTACTTGCACCAAAAGTTGAGTTATTTACGAAAATACCACCGCGTCATTTTTTAAAATTACATATGATTCGTTAAATTTAGACACGTGGACGACTGCAATTGACTCTTAGTTCTTTCCTGGACACCCGTTCTCGCCTGAGTGCGCCCATATATTTATGGGGGGAGAAAAAGAGAAAAAGAAGAAAAGATCGACAATGAACCGTGTTGGAGAATACTTCATTTGACTTTTGATTAGGACCCACAAAGATCTTTGATTTGCGGGAGAAAAAATCAATGAAAAATCATACTCTCCATTTGTCAAAAACCAATGCATGATCTTTTCTTTCGGACAAAAATCAACAAAATACAAAACCTAAATGGGGATGATCGGAATTTCAATTCCTCAAAATTGATGAATTACAATTCCATGAAACTCAATTCATTCAAAATTTCCAACTAAACTAATAAATGTTTTTACAGCTTTCAAAAAGAAAAAAAAAATAAAATTTACATGTATATATATTGGATGCATACACACACAAACACAACATTGAACCACCTCAAAATGATTGGGGACGAAAGCACAGATCATAAAGAAACTCTTGCTGCTCTCTAATGGTGATGTATTTACATCTACATGCCCAATCAAGTGGGAGCCGGCTATCAAGAAACAAATGAAACTGAAAAATCATAAAATGTGATCAAAACTCAAACAAGATCTATCAGATCACCTTCCACCGTATATCAACATGTATTGTTCCGTTTTTAGAATTTATAAGATGGTGTTCTTCATTAACACGCCCATTATGGACAACATCCCTGAGTTGAATGTCCACGTACCCCAGAGATTCCTGCATGCAGATTGCAGACAGAGTGTATGTATATATCCAGTGTGTGTAAAATGCATGCAAATGCAGACAAAATGGTGAGTTTAAGGATGTTGGTGATATTACCTTAGTCCGAAAACAACGAGCCCTCCTCCGAACGCTCATGACTTCGATATGAACATGATCCTTCAAAGGAACCTCTTCTAAAACAAATTGGAATTCTTCTTCCCATCTTGGATGCCGACATTTCTTGATTTTCTGCACACAGTAATGAGATATCATGACCCCCGAGTAGTTTAAACATGTTGTCTGAGTTTGAGAAGGCTAAGGATTTCGTGTGGATCACCTTGGTCTTTCTCTCCTCTCCTCTAAAATGGATAACAACATAAGGATTGGTTTGGACTTTGCCCTCTACATCATCTGCACCTTTAATTGTAACCGATAGCAAACCTTCTCCTTCCAAGGCATTCTTGTCTGGTGAGGTCTTGATGTTTTCCGTCTTTTGCTTACCAGAAGTCGAGGTGAACTTCATGCTGTCTTCTTGGAAGGGAACAAATGTCATTTCAAACTCAATTTGACCCATCGACTTATTGTTCAGAGGATCGTTAGGATTCATGCTGTTCACCAAGTCGAGTGTGAATGTTTTCTTCTCATAAGGCTTGAGCAACTTTAGGGGGACTACTTGCATCCCCAGATTGTCATGTGTTCCAAACTGCAAAACAAAGTAAGAAGCAACAAAATTGTGGCTAAACAAAAGAACCCAAACTTCCCGCCCAATTGTATCTGAAGATATTAACCTTTTCCCAGTCATAGAGATGTAATTCGAGGACTTGAGTGTCTGGGTCCTTTACAGTTAATTTGAAGTCCTCGTTCCACACGGGATCCAGAGTGTCCATCTTTACAGTAGTCTTCTTCACGGATAGCAGCTCCTTGCCAAGGTTGAGTGTAACGTACGGATCAGATTTACTGAAAACATCTGTGTCTATTAGATTTCGTGCTCTCAAGACTTTCACATGCAGTATTCCGACGGGCCTCTTCACAGCTCCTCTGTAATTTAAGAAGAATATCTATAGGACCAAAATTTCCAAGAAAATGAATTGAATAAAAGACAAGCAAGATGCATATTTCCTCAATGATGTTTCGACTATGCTTGACCGTTAGACTGGATATTATCTTTCATTTACAACTTACACTGAACTGTCAAGAACTGGTATTTCTAGTGTTTGTGGCCAGAGGTAAAGCTTGGAAACTTCTTTGCTAACAGTTTCCTGCCACCAATAAGGAATTTGGTTAAAATAAATTCAGTACTTTTCTCTAACTCTCATTCACTATCATCTATATTCTCACAAATCTTGTTTGATTTTATCTTCCTTCATTCTTTCAGATTAGTAAACCGTAAACCCGAGCCTCAATGGTTTCAAAGGATGCTTAGAAATCATGCAAGATTATCTGTACTAAAGGGATGAAACAAGAGAAGCACCTGAATGTAGTGGTGTAAGCCAGGGATTGCCATAAGATCCCCTCCTAAAACTTTCAGCCCGAAATCTACATTTGGCTGCACGTTCACGAACATGCTTTTAGTAGCTATTTAACCAATTTGCATAGTTCTAAAAAACATAAGAATATTTTTTGCTTACCTTTTCCATCAGTGACACTAGAATGCTTGAAAAGCACGGGAAGGTTGCCAACAAAGGCGACAAAATTACTCTTAGTCTTGCAGATATTTGAAATTCTATCAACTGAAAGAAATACGAGAGACATTAACCCTTACATGTATTGATTATGAGATGAAACGTAACTCAAAGATAAGGCTAGCTCTAACCTGTACAGGGATTTTTAGACACAGCAATTTCAGTGCTATAACAATATTGGGATTACCAGCCCATCTGAGTGCAAGCTCGAAAATTAGCTGATTTTCTATAAGTTTAACTGACTTTATACCTGTCAGATTGATCAACAAAATCCCAGAGTCATGTTTTGCTAAGATCAAATCATTAACTCTACACAACAAGTTGTTCATAGTTTTCTCGTTTTTTCTCTCATTTCATGTGATTGTCTAAAAATACAAGTGCAGTAATCATGACTTACCATGAATTTTTGGGGTAAAAGTTCCAAGAGTAAGGTGTTCAAACTCAATGGATTTTATCAGATACTTCCCACTATACTCTGCAAATATGGGTTGTGTTGTGCTTCTAACGATTCCACAAACTGCCTGTACATGACAAAAGTTCAAGCTACGTAATCAAGCCACATAATCTGAATCAAATCGAGGCATTTCACAAAATGCCAATTAAATGTAAAAGTGGTACGAAATATGAATGACATTTGTATTACCTTGTCCAGATATGGCCACATATGCTCTATGAACAAATTCAACCACTCAACCTACTCAATGATATAAACTAAGTTCAGTAGGATGAAGCTTGAAAGCTATATAGTAACCAAAAAAAAAAAATCAATAAAGACTCAGCACTTACTCGTTCAAAATCTGGATTCATCACCCATGATGGAAGTTCAGAAAAAAGATCAATAAAGGAGCTCGAGTCAAAATCCTGAAGTGATCTACATTCTGGTGGATCCTGCAGTTTAATGTTTGCAAGGGTGACTTTACTTGTATACAAAGTGTGAACTTCACAAAATACAGACAACTATCCCAGGATAAAGTCAACAACTACGACGTAAGCTGAAATTGTATGACACACGGTATAGTGCACCCATGGTATCACGCCCCTCACGTGTGAGGTGGGTTCCAAGTAACACATGATTCGAACCCATGACTTTTGGTCTGGCAGCCTAAGCTGATAGTTGGATTGCACATTAATGGTTATATGCTCAACAAGCTGACCTAGAGATTTATGTATGCATTTAATGTCAAAAATCATGAAAGTACATATTCATTGTAGGTGCTTATCAAATACTCAGAACAACTTTAAGGTAAGATTATATTCTGGATTTTCTGGGATAATGAACAAGAAAGGAATATATAGTAATACTCTCACCATGCTTCAGAACATACCCTAATTCCACATTACAAATTATGAATTAAGTAATCTAGCAAAAGTTCATTTGCTAGAACCAATTTAAACAAGTGCAGAACCACACAATACTGGTTACCACAAGGAGCATAAAGTGATCAAACGTCAGAAATTCACAAAACAGGATTGCAGACAACATTCAAACAAAAGCACTAAACATTAAAAACGAGGAATTGAACTGAACTCATACGAAAATTCAAGCCTTTACCTTATTAACATCATCTTTTGGGGCATAGCATATGAACAACAAATAGCCAATTACAAGGCCAATGGGGATCCCAAGCCAAAATCCAAAGATTACCAATACGCTTCGAAGAAACCCCATTTTCCTAAATCATCATCGACATTAATCAGAGCCCACAATTCATCGCTGCCGAGCAGAAGAAGCTTTCAGAAGAAAAAGGGCATTCAACGCTACAAATCATGAACCACGTGAACCATTCATGCATTATATATATGTGTGTGCATATATATAAACATACCATGTATCAGAGAAAGAGACATTTGCATAGCTGGATATGGCCTATGGCTATGGATGTTGAGATTTAGGAGGTAACGTATTGAAGGGTGAACGTGTGAGGAGAAATGGAGGGCAACAAAGCAAAGATTGTTCTGCGAATATGGACTATAGACGTGGCTGTTTGAAAATGAAGTTTATCTAATTTCTATTTGTAGTAAAATTTTAATGACACGTCTGATTCACAAGATATAAGGACTGTTTACCTGAATGATTATATATATATATATATATATATATATATATATATATATATATATATATATATATATATATATATATATATATATATATAGACTTGCACTCGGGTGCGAACGGCTCGCCCAGGCGCGAAACAGGAATGAATTCTTTTTGTCCACGTGTCCAGATCTAATGGATGAGAAACACTGATTTTAAAAAAAAAGGCGGTGGCATTTTCGTAAATAATTGAACATCAAAGTGCAAGTAAAATGTATTACAAATGCATGTAAAATGTACTATAGGTGCAAATAAAAATTTACACTGAGCATCAATACTTAGTTGCACTTATAGTTCTAAGTATTTGCACCTATAGTTCTAAGTAGTTGCACAAATAGGTATAAGTAGTTGCATCTAGGTGTATGAATGTTTGCGAGTGGTTTTCAGAAGTATTACTACCCGCTGACTCAGATCAATGAATGTTAACAAGGCAAAATTACATGCACTTATAGGTGAAAGTAGGTGCACCTATAGTTATAAGTAGTTGCACCTATAGTTATAAATAGTTGCACATATAGTTATAAGCACACTTAGGTGCATGAATGGTTGCGGAAAGTGAATGCTAACAAGGCAAAATTACATGCACTTATAAGTGAAAATAGGTGCACTTATAAGAGATTTCACTTGCACTTCGATGTTCAATTATTTACGAAAATGCCACCGCGTTTTTTTTTAAGTAATTAGATCTGGACACACGTCGCGCGCTGATTCGTTCGCATTTCCTTCCTGGGCACTTATTCGCACCTGAGTGCGTCCCTATATATATATATATATATATATATATATATATATATATATATATATATATATATATATATATATATATATATATATATATATATATATATATATAATCGCACTCAGGTGCGAATGCTTCGCCCAAGCGCGAAATAGGAATGAATTCTGTTCGTCCACGTGTCCAGATCTAATGGATGAGAAACACTGATTTTTTTAAAAAACGCGGTGGTATTTTCATAAATAATTGAACATCGAAGTGCAAGTAAAATGTATTACAAGTGCATGTAAAATGTATTATAGGTGCAAGTAAAAATTTACACTGAGCATCAATACTTAGTTGCACATATAGTTCTAAGTAGTTGCACCTATAGTTCTAAGTAGTTGCACATATAGTTATAAGTAGTTGCACCTAGGTGTATGAATGTTTGCGAGTGGTTTTCAGGGGTATTACTACCCGCTGAACTCAGATCAATGAATGTTAACAAGGTAAAATTACATGCACTTATAGGTGAAAGTAGGTGCACCTATAGTTATTAGTAGTTGCACCTATAGTTATAAATAGTTGCACATATAGTTATAAGCCCACCCAGGTGCATGAATGTTTGCGGAAAGTGAATGCTAACAAGGCAAAATTACATGCACTTATAGGTGAAAGTAGGTGCACCTATAGTTATAAGTAGTTGCACCTATAGTTATAAATAGTTGCACATATAGTTATCAGCACACCCAGGTGCATGAATGTTTGCGGAAAGTGAATGCTAACAAAGCAAAATTACATGCACTTATAGGTGAAAGTAGGTGCACTTGTAAGTGATTTTACATGCACTTCGATGTTCAATTATTTACGAAAATGCCACCGCGTTTTTTTTTAAAGTTATTAGATCTGGACACGTGTCGAGCGCTGATTCGTTCGCATTTCCCTCCTGAGCACTTATTCGCACCTGAGTGCATCCCTATATATATATATATATATATATATATATATATATATATATATATATATATATATATATATATATATATATATATATATATATATATATATATATATATATATATGGGGTAGGGTTCCAGAGAGAACATGTACTTAGGTGAGAACGTAAGAACATATCATGTGCATCCATCTAATATTTTTTAATGGTTTAGATTAGATTAAGTGTGTGCGGACGCGCATTAAATATGTACAAACGCGATTTAGTGTGTTTGCACGTATTTAATGCGCGTTCGCACACACTTAATCTAATCTAGACCATTAAAAAATATTAGATGAATGCACATGATATGTTCTCACATTCTCACCTAAGCACATGTTCTCATATGATCCTAACTATATATATATATATATATATATATATATATATATATATATATATATATATATATATATATATATATATATATATATATATATGTGTGTGTGTGTGTGTGTGTGTGTGTGTGTGTGTGTGTGTGTGTGTGTGTGTGTGTGTGTGTGTGTGTGAGTTCACATGAGTACCACTAGAGGATTGTGCGGACTGATTAGGGGCACACGATAAATTAGTATAAGACACACAACTTAATACACAATGGCACACAAGAATACATGTAAACATCAAGTTTCGAACCCAGACTCTATTAATTAACAAACATATGCACACGACATACAAATTATGGCACACGACATACAAATTATGGCACACGACTACATCCGGCCATGCATACGACATACAGACTAATGGCACGCGACTACATCCGGTCATGCATACGACATAGTCTCCTCACAGTCCTCTATAATATAATGGTCCTCATTTGAACTCAACTATATATATATATATATATATATATATATATATATATATATATATATATATATATATATATATATACATACAAAGGATGAGGTGCAAAGCAGGTGAAACGTGCGGGTTAATCATAGCCTTTGATCTTGCCAAAATCAACCACTCAAAATAAAAAATAATTTTAAAATAACACGGTGGCATTATTGTCATTTTGCGTAAGGTCACAACTGAATGTGCGTAAGTTTAAAGCTTAAAGTGTTTAAGTTTATAGTTTAAGGTGGCTAAGTTCATAGCGTTAGATGCCTAAGTCTAAAACTTAAGGTGCTTAAGTGCGTAAGTTTATAGCTTAAGGTGCATATGTTCAAAGCCTATGCATTAGTTTCTAGTTTAAGGTGCGTCAATTTAACTCTTAGGGTCCGTTTGGAAAGCAGGAAAATGACTTCTGGAAAATGTTTTCTGGAAAATGAGTTGTTTTCCTGAAAATATTTTCCTTTCCGGTGTTTGGCTGCACAATGGAAAACTGTCTTTGTGTGTTTGGTTCATTTTCCAGAAAATGAATAGAATTGTATACTTCAACATTTTAATTGTTATATGCCTAAAAATATAATTTTATTGTTTTATGTAGACTTTTCCTGAATGGATTCAATGGTATGACAATAAGAATAGCAACCTTCAACTGATTGCAACATACTCTTTTATGTAAAAAAAAAAAAAAACAACAAAAAGTAAATGCTAAGAGAGGCCAAGAAAAAAGTTCCAGTGAGGCCAAGAAAAGAAAACTAATCTTGATTGGAACTTTTATCAAACAGCTAACGAGTATTAATTGTACGTTTAGCAAATTCTTATAAACCAAGAGGGGCTTGGCGTGTGGATTGTTCGGAAAGCCAGTGGGCTGGAGAAGAGCAGGGACGGCATGTCTTGGAGCCAAGTGGTTTGGTTTTGGAGCTGCAGAGATAGCAAAGAGCGGCTTGGCGTGTGAGTTGTTCGGAAATTTTAAGAATTGGGAGAGATGGGTTTGGATGCTATTTGATATCTTCTCAAATGTTTGGAAGAGAAGCTGCAATGGATTCTCAGATGTTGACATAGATAGGAGCCACAAGGGGAGCAGGAGTAAGCAATTTTGTGGGATTGTTAGCGCAGCTGGTGTTGGTGACTAGGTGGAGTGTCGATACAGGCAGAGCCGCAGAGCTTCTAGGAGGAGAGAACCACGGAAAATGACTTCCCCCCAAAAAAAGGGGAAGTCATTTTCCGGAAAAGAGGGCTTATTTTTCATTGACTACATGGCATTTTCCTTTGACTTCTCTTTTCCTTGCTTAGCCAAACACCAAAAACCCGGAAAATGATTTCCAGAAATCATTTTCCGGGTTTCCAAATACACCCTTAAGGGTGCGTATGTTGAAAGATTAAGGTGCATTATTTTCAAGCTTAAGAAGTTTGAAGTTTAAGGTACGTAAGTTTATAGCTTTAAGTGCCTAAGTTTATAGTTTAAGATGCGTAAGTTTATAGCTTAAGGTGTGTATGTTTAAAGCGTAATTAAGGTGTGTCACTTTCTAGTTTAAGGTGTATCAATTTAACTTTTAAGGTGCGTATGTTTAAAGTTTAAGTTATATTATTTTCTAGCTTAAAAGTGCATAAGTTCGAAACTTAAGATGCATATATATATATATATATATATATATATATATATATATATATATATATATATATGGATGAAAGTTATCTGGTGCGAAGAATTTCTCAGGTGAAACATGCGGTGAGATATGAGCTATTGATCTAGATGATCAATGACTCAAATCAATAAAAAAAAAAAAAAATTTTAAAAAAGTGTATTGGGAGGCAGAAACTAAGTGTAAAAATGGCATATAGAATTTCACAACACAAGACATAAATTCATAACATAAAACATACAATATGTTGTGTGTTATAAGGCTACTAATTTGTTATAGGTACGAATTTCACTCTTAATGTACAAAATTTTAAAACACAAGACACAAATTCACAATACAAGACACATACACATGTTTTATATTATTAATATATATATATATATATATATATATATATATATAAACTATAACGTGAATTAGATAACCAAGTGGTTGTCGTCAAAATTAAAGTTTGAAAACGACGTCATACAGGATCGGGGTATCTGTTCAGTAGTGTTCATAGTATAAGGATTGACTTCCACATGCTTCCTTCCTTCTTAACTCTTTAAGACTTTTGACCAAAATCGCACCAATAAAAATGGATTGATTGATCATACATACTTTTAATAAAATACTAAAGAATTTAATTAAATATTGTTGCGTCAAGAGGAAAATTTATGAGCAAAATATTAAGAA